AGAAATAAAGAAATATAGTTTATTTCTTTATTTCTTTATTTCTTTATTTCTTTATTTCTTTATTTCTTTATTTCTTTATTTTATTTCTTTATTTCTTTATTTCTTTATTTCTTTATTTCTTTATTTCTTTATTTCTTTATTTTATTTCTTTATTTCTTTATTTCTTTATTTCTTTATTTCTTTATTTCTTTATTTCTTTATTTTATTTCTTTATTTCTTTATTTCTTTATTTCTTTATTTCTTTATTTCTTTATTTCTTTATTTTATTTCTTTATTTCTTTATTTCTTTATTTCTTTATTTCTTTATTTCTTTATTTCTTTATTTTATTTCTTTATTTCTTTATTTCTTTATTTCTTTATTTCTTTATTTCTTTATTTCTTTATTTTATTTCTTTATTTCTTTATTTCTTTATTTCTTTATTTCTTTATTTCTTTATTTCTTTATTTTATTTCTTTATTTCTTTATTTCTTTATTTCTTTATTTCTTTATTTCTTTATTTCTTTATTTTATTTCTTTATTTCTTTATTTCTTTATTTCTTTATTTCTTTATTTCTTTATTTCTTTATTTTATTTCTTTATTTCTTTATTTCTTTATTTCTTTATTTCTTTATTTCTTTATTTCTTTATTTTATTTCTTTATTTCTTTATTTCTTTATTTCTTTATTTCTTTATTTCTTTATTTCTTTATTTTATTTCTTTATTTCTTTATTTCTTTATTTCTTTATTTCTTTATTTCTTTATTTCTTTATTTTATTTCTTTATTTCTTTATTTCTTTATTTCTTTATTTCTTTATTTCTTTATTTCTTTATTTTATTTCTTTATTTCTTTATTTCTTTATTTCTTTATTTCTTTATTTCTTTATTTCTTTATTTTATTTCTTTATTTCTTTATTTCTTTATTTCTTTATTTCTTTATTTCTTTATTTCTTTATTTTATTTCTTTATTTCTTTATTTCTTTATTTCTTTATTTCTTTATTTCTTTATTTCTTTATTTTATTTCTTTATTTCTTTATTTCTTTATTTCTTTATTTCTTTATTTCTTTATTTCTTTATTTTATTTCTTTATTTCTTTATTTCTTTATTTCTTTATTTCTTTATTTCTTTATTTCTTTATTTTATTTCTTTATTTCTTTATTTCTTTATTTCTTTATTTCTTTATTTCTTTATTTCTTTATTTTATTTCTTTATTTCTTTATTTCTTTATTTCTTTATTTCTTTATTTCTTTATTTCTTTATTTTATTTCTTTATTTCTTTATTTCTTTATTTCTTTATTTCTTTATTTCTTTATTTCTTTATTTCTTTATTTCTTTATTTCTTTATTGCATAAATTATATAAGTGTAAGTTTAAGTGTTCATTATTATCAAACTCATTAATAATTCATAATGTCATTAGCCAATGATATACTGAGAATCTAATCACGTTATTATTATGTCCCCCATAAGTTTCATATGTCAAGATTATGTCAAAATAAATATAAGTTCTATTAACACAAGAACGCAGGTAGAACTTAATGATAACCTAGGGAATTACTTACTCAGAAACGTTCATGAATATTGATTTGCTAATTTTGTCTTATAACAGAAGACTACACTTCTTACATAAAAGGTTGGTATGTCTTAAAATAAATTTTATATACGCATGAAAAAAGCCGTTTAGAGTGATTCCTCTTTGGAAAAAATAGCTAAAGAACTCGTGCTTGTGAGGACCGACAGAAGAAAACAATTGGCCTGAAGTCAGATAGCAGGAGTAGCTATTCTCACTTTGAAAAGTTAATGAAGGAGTAAAAGATAATCTCTAAAGTAGTTGGGAATTTTAGAAGTAACTTTTATGGATGCTTTCCCATATTTAAGCTGATATCTAAGATTTCAGATTGAAGTATTAATAATATTGACAAATAATATACAGTAAATGAAAGCAAGAACGAAGGATAGGAATTATTATTTTTTTACTAAATATCATGCGATCCTTTAAAAGAACTGAAGCTATGAGATAAGCCAGAAAGGAATGAAAAACTTTCTCGCATGACCTAAAATTACAAGTAATATTACAGAATTTTCTTTCTTGCTACTAAAACTAAATGCAGTGCGGAGGGTACAGTTGTTTTCCATTAGCATCTTTGAGGGGGTTTATCGGCAAAAGGACGCGTGTTAAGAAAATTATGAAAATCATTAAAAATTAACAATACATAAATTTTGAAGAAAATGGTGACATGGAGACTGAACTTCTTTAAAAGAAGGAATGTTGGTATTCCTAAATCTAATCACAACAATAGCGAATCTTAATCGCCGACGAATTCGACTCAGCGATTTCGATCGCGTTCCTCGGCGATCGAAAGTGCTCAGAAACTGAAATATTCACCAAGGTGGCAGCAAACCTGGCGATTTAAGCGATCGAAATTCGCTCGTACGTCCCATATCAAACTTATTGCTAAAGATCGGGTGACATTTGCTTAGATTAGATCATTTGATATATTATATAAATGAAGAGGACGAAAACGAGCACAAATATGGCATTTTTAAAAAGAATATATAGGTTTATCGTTCATTAGAAAAGCAAAAAGCTTTAAAAAAATATCTCGGATTTTGTTCTCCGAAACTCTGGGACTCTTCAACAATACTGAGCTTTTTAGCGGAGCTCCCGCGCGGGCCGAAGGCCCGTGCGAGCGGAGCACCATAGCTAAGAAAAAATGGTATACCATCGAGTCGATTTTCCATGGACCGACACAGGGTTCCCGCGCGTACGCACGTTTCCTTCCTTCCGTCCTTCCGTCCTTCCGTCCTTCCGTCCTGGATTCCGTGTACCACCACAGGAAACCCATACTCCGCTCGAAAAGGAAACAAAGGGCCAAGTATTTGTTGAAAAATCGAACTTTTTTCCTTAAACATTTATATTACATATTGATAATATTAGAACAATTTATCACAAGGAAAAAATCCACTGAAGAGCGAAATAACAGCACAGAAATATTCCCGCCAATTTTGTCATAACTTCGACGCGTCCGCACATCTGGGAAATCGATTTGCGAAGATGAAAAACAATTTAGGCCCATCTTAAAAGTGATATTAGAAAAAAGGATTTTACTTTGATATTTCGACAACAAGAAAGAGATGATACTTTATTGGAAATACTTCAATAATATGGACCAATATGGGAAAAAGCAGGGATATATGCGAAGTTCTTTTGTCGACTAAAAGTGTGGACATTTCGAAACCAAGACCATGCTAGCAGTTAGATTGAGAGAGATTAAAAACAAAGAATCTACAGTCTTGAATGACTTAATAAATTGATGAAACCCATGCTTGAAACAAGTATGGCTCTGTTGAAGATGACCTTGAACGATAATTTATCGGAAGTTCGATAATGAAGGTAAACAATATATTTTTGTATACAGTTTTCTGTGATATGTGAAGTTCGAGTAGTCCGGGTTCAAACATCGATTATTGAAACAATGTTGATTATAAATATTGTAAGCTTATGTAGACTACTTTTTGCCGAGAAGCTTTCAGTTTACTTTTAATCAATTGACCTAAATAGATTGTAATTTTAAACTTCATCCAACGGTACAAAATCTATCGAAGTCAATATTTTAGTACGAACTAAATTCTCATAAACATAATCTTTATGATATTTGTTCGCATGTCAACAAAACTGTTGTAGCTCACATTCCTTAGAACAGAGCATCTACCTTTGAAATAGCAGTACCAGATAATCATTTTCAGCTTCTATATTGCTATTGGAGCTCCGCTATTAGGTGTTACCTAATTTTTATATTACGGCAATATAGCCTTCATAAGATTAATCAAAACCACAGGCATAAATCGCTCAAAATTGAAGGAAATGGCCTGAGACTTCACAGAAATGCAAAGAAAAACACAATAAACAGGTAGAGATGTTTATTTTTGTTTATTTTTAATATTTCTAAAAAGTACACAAATGCCTAGCTTGGGGTACCTGTGGTCGACTGGCTATTTTGATGCTTAACTCAAACTCTTCAAAGGCGAAAATACATACTTGGATTTTCAAATTTTCTCACGAAAAATACACAGAAAGGTCACATATATATTTCATTTCTTAGATTCGATGGTAGGTTTTTAGGATTGTCTTTAATACCATTGCATTTCTTCAAAAGGTCTTGAAATCTGGTCTCTTTTCGTCGAATTTGACACTTCATACGGACTGTCTGGTTACCCTTGAGTGATCACGGACTTTTTTGTCACCATTGCTGGATTTCAAACCGTGTGGGACTGGGCAAAATCCCCTAATTGGGTAATCATGACATAAGACTTACATAGAAAGAAAGCCCTTGTAGAGAAATGCAAAATTCCAAAATCTGGTGTCAATCAGTCCAATAGTGAGCGAGTTACAGCCTTTCAAATATTCTAATATTTTCAAAGAAATGTATGGAAAGCCGTGAATTAATCATATGGAACTTAGAGTCATCACACTTGTACCGTGAAACATAATGAAAGAAGTAGTAACTATTAGTTTTTATTTACTGACTCATTGTATGAAATAGTAGATATCACTGAACCAAAACAATTCTTGAAAACAAAAGATAATACACAAGAGACTTGGAAGCCAAACAATGTTATTAAAAGCTACCTAATGAAGAAGGAGGAATTTGTTAAAAAATGTCACACCCACAAGGAAAGAAATAAGGAGCTAGTGTAGTTCTTTGTTAAACCCAGAGGAAAGATGTCGGGAAGGGCGAGAACTTGTGTGTTAAATATAGGCTTCATGGAAATCGAGTTCATTGACAGGACATAAAAAGAATTGCCCTATTATTGATTATAGGGTGAAATAGAAATAGATAGCTATAGCAACTAACTTTATAACTGTTACGAGTGCTGCTGGAAATAATGATTTGGTAACTATTGTCCCATGCTAGAAAGGTATGTATCTCACAAACATTTCCGAAATGATTAATAAAATTCCTTGTGTTTTATTCTGAGCTTCAAGCAATGGATAAATTTAAAACGTCGCCGCTGGTTGTTGTCAAATCGCTTAATTATATTGACTAGTCAAATAACTCAGCTTTGAGCGATAGAATTCGTTCGAAACCACGTTGCTTTTATAGATTTTTGCGGGTAATTTCAGTGCGTCTTGTCTTGATTTTTAGGTTATGCTCTTATAATAAACTCGTTAGATATCACGTTCATTTGCGTACTGGGTTTACTATTGTTACAGTATTTTCAATTTAGCCTTAAAATGTCTTCTGTCATAATTTTGCTGCGGCGCAGACAATAAAGACTCCAAACGCGTTTTATTGCGTCTTTTGTGATTATTTTAGCTTTAGATGTGTCTTGTGTCTTGATTCCACAGCAGCGCAAATAAATAAAGATTCGTGAAACGCGTTTCCTTGCGTACTGTGTGGTTATTTTAGCTTTAGATGTGTCTTTTGTCTTGATTGTACATGAAATAAAGATGGCAGTTGTCAAGTCTCTTGTGTATTGCCTTTTGTTTTCATGAACTGTGTTCGGTTCAGTAATATCTACTATTAGTCAATAAATAGACACTAATATTTACTGTTTATTTTGATCATATTTCACGGTACAAGTGTGATGACTCTA